GTATACAGGGGACCCACTCTGGATGCCAGGGAGGGGAAATGGGGAACCCTCCCAGGAGGTGGTTCTGAATTGCCTTCACTCTTTTGGGTACAGTCTCTAACTCTGAAAGCATTTCAACAAAGCACTCAGTGTCCTCTTGACTCGTCACCTGCAGGCATGAAGATGTCAGCTCTGGCCAACCACCAGGTGCCATTCGCAGAGTTGTGCACATGGAGGGTGGAGGGGAGGGGGCCAAAGATGCTCCGACTTGCCTGGTTGGAAACAACAGCTCTCTTCTTTACTGTTAAGCTGATTTCTTCCAGCTCCCTCCAGGAGCTATGTTAACCCCTACTCTCTGCCTAGCTTTCTCTTCTAGGTGGGTGTTTCTTTCCATACACATTTATTGAGCATCTACTACATGCCAGGCCGAGTTGGCATGCCTAAGTTGCTCACGGTGAGTATGAGACACAGAGAAGCAAATAGGTGACACTAGGGCAGCAATTGATGGTGAAGAAAGAAGCGAGCATTGTGTGTTGACAGGCCAGGGAAGGGGCAGAGAGCCTGGTCTGGGGCGCAGGGCTCTCCTAAGAATGATGATGTGCATCCCAGGCAGGGTTCTGGGCAGAAGTTTCTTCACTTAATAGAACAGGTCCTGATGAGTATTCATAGGGTTCCCAGGACATTCCTGGTTTATACCTGTTGTCCTGGCAACACTTTCATTCTAAAAATGTCACTGTTTGGATGACAAACAGGTGTAAGTCAGAACGGTTCCTGAAAAACCTATGAATGCTAAATTCAAAGGGCAAGTGTCACCCAGGGCTGAAATTCTATTTTTTGGTGCAGAGTCCGTGTGCCTGGAGCGTGTGTGTGTGTGTGTGTGTGTATGTGTGTGTGTGTGTGTGTGTGTGGTGAAGGGGTGTTATGCAGAATGTGTTTGATTGCTCCATTGGGCCACTAGAGATTATTGAAGTGAATTAAGAGTTGGAAATGGGGGGTGAGTAGACACAATAGACACCACTTCTGTTTATCTTTCTTTTTTCAATTCAGGAAAATGAAATCCAGAAAGGGAGAGGGAAGGAGGAAAGAGGAAAAGAGAACAGAGGAGGGTGCCTGGATACCTTGCTACACACTCCAGACTGGGCTTTCATTCATACTCACAATGAACCTGGGAAGTGGATATAGCATGCCCATTTTCCAGATGAGGAAACTGAGGCTTGGAGAGATTCCATGACTTGCCCTAGGTTTAGGCTCTGAGTAGCTGACTGAGTCTCCTGGTTGGAGGCCAGTTCTCACTCTGGCCTTGGTGAATCACAACTCTTGAAAGTGTGACTTGGGCAGCCTTGGCCAAAGCCATGGTAGCTCTGCCACCTCTTCTAGACTTACTGCAGACCCCAGTCCCCAGGGTCTGTCCTATTCTTATGAGAGTCACAGTTCCTGGGAAGCATCACAGAGCCCATCTCAATCCCTAGCCGGGGCAGGGGTGACTTGGCGGGAAGTCCCAAGGGAGCTCCAGCCGGGTTCAGAGCTGGGGAGGAAACAAGGCTGCTGGTTTCAGGTGCTTGAGCAAGTGGCCTTGCTGGGACTTGCCTCCACCAAGTCCCACTGGCACGCACCCCCTTGGCTGGCACCTTTCCCTGACGTCAGATCCCCGTCCTGGCCCCTCTGAGAACAGTCTTCTGGCTCCAGGCCCCAGAACACCTGCCCTGCCCCTCCCCCTCCCCCTGGGGTGAGGTGGGGGCAGACAATGGAGGACGCGGATCATCTGTGTACTCAGACTCCTTGTTCAGGTGGCTGCGACAGGGAGTGCCTCACGGAGCTCTCCCTCACCTCTCCAGGTGTCAGAGCTGGCCCCGCTAGCCTGCGGAGTGTGCTGGGTGGGGCTCCACCTAGGTGTTCCTGGCTGGGACTGTGACCAAGGATGGAGGATGCCCACAGATCATAGCAGGGCCCGTCCTGGGGCCTGCTGAGGGGCAGGGGGCATGGCAAACCTGGGGCTGGCATGGGGCGGGCGAGACGGACCGTGTGGGGTGCATACTGTCATGGCTCTCTTCTTTCAGGGCCTCGGGCTGCGCTGCTTACTTATTTCCATCCCAGTGGACCCCGTGGTGCCCTTTACTGCCACACCATCTACCTCAAGCTCCACGGGCTTTAGGCTGGCTTCCAAGGATCACTGGACCAACTGCCAACTGCCAAGCTGCAGCTCACTAATTCTTCTGCTCCGCGCCAGCCTCTCCCCATCTTCTCCTCTCTGTGCCCTCTCCCTCCCCAGCCTCCCTTCAACCAAGCCAGCTGCCCTCCTTCCTAGCATTTCCTGCCTATTCAGACTCCTCTCTCATCTCTGACCCTTGCCCAGCCCAGGTCTGGAAGTGTCCTAGGGTTCTGACTACCTAGAGGCAGGGCTCTGTCCTGGGAGACAGGCCCAGATTCCTTCTGTGCCTTCTCTTCCGATTCCAGCAGGTGGGCAGGCAGGCACGTGGCCACAAGGCCCACCCCAATCTCCACATCGCAACCTAGATTTTCTCCATTAATTGTATTGATTTCTTCCACTGAACTGCTGGGATCAAAGGCTACCTCAGCAACTCAGCAGTTCATTAAGTCCTGACTGTCCCAGGGGACAGCTGGAGGAAAAACATGTGAGCAGGAAGCCAGGCCAGGACCTGGAGGGCAGCCTGCCGTGAGGAGTGTTGGGCTGTGTTGCAGAGGGGGGCCCTGGGTGGGGCAGGGTGGGTGAGAAGGGTAAGGCTCAGGTGGGATGTCTTGGAGTCCCTTCCTCTGCTCTGACCAGAAGGGTGGGAACTGGGCTCCAGGATCCCCAGGACCAGCAGGAACCCTGTCCAGGGATCTAGCACCTGCTCCCACCTGCACTTCCTGCCATTGTCCCAACACCAAACACCTCTCAGGCCTTGTGCTGGGCACACGAGGTCAGAACTGCTAATGACTCGACTCCAGCCCACAAGGAGCTCCTGCTCCGTGGGAGAGCAGGCCCAAACAGACACCCCCAGGCTGGACCCAGGTCCTGCAGCACCAGAATCATTCCTGTTATTCCCAATTCAGAGATTAAGTTTGCTAGAGGCAGAGTATTTCAACTAAAGCATTTCCCCTAACTTCCGGTTCTTGATTTTCGAGGTGACTCACTGGAGAAATTTTAGACAATTTAGATTCTGAAGCACAAAGTCAAGATGAGGCCAGCAGTCAGAGCTGCTCGTTTTTCCAACTCTCCTTCCCTTTGCCTGATGGGTCAGTTGGGGTCAGACAGGGAGCACCTGGATGGGGTTGCCCTCATGTCCTCAGGCCAGCAGAGTCCTGGCAATGGCAAGGGGGGATGTGGCTGTCCTCTTGCCCCCTCAGCCCTCAGCCTACACTTTCTCTCCTGAGCGCTGCCTGCCCTCCCTTCCTGCTCATTCTCTCTTTGCCTCCAACTCACATGAAGTGTGAGCACTTGAGTGGGAGGATGTCCGAGGGACTCAAAGGCCTGGAGCTTCTCCCTGCTCCTCCTCCCTCATTTTGAGGACTGGGAGGACTGAAGGGTCAACTCTCCAAGGGCTATTAAGGGCCAGGGGCAAAAGGGTCTCTGGAAACAAGCTGAGGCTGCAGGTACTAATGGAGATCCTCCTACTCCTGGGGTGCCCCATGTGTGTTGGTTGCCCCCCACCATGGGGGTCCTGGAATACTGGGGATCAGAGGAAAGCAGAGGAAACAGCCCAAGACAGGGCAGCCTGGCTGGTACTTCTTTCTGAATGTTACCTAAGCCAGGGACTCAGGTCTGGGGCTGGGGAGCTGCCAGATGGGAACATTTTGCGAAGTTCTTGTAGGCAACATAATAGTCACTTCCCTTGTTCCAAAGCTCCATCCTTGGCATCAGCCAGCACTCATGCCTGCACTCTGTCCTCTTCCAGTCACAGGGAGGGTCTGATGCAATGGCTCATTCACTCAGTCCCTCCATCGGCAGGTGCTTGCTGAGTGCCCGCTGCGTGCCCGGCACGTGCTTGGCGCTGGGCATACAGAGGTAAGCAAAACCGACATGCCCTGCCCTCTGCAGGATCTGCCTCTGGAAACAAGCAGCCCATCTGTTGACCTGAAAATCACCCTGGTGTCCAGGGAGGGACAGGCAGGTCCAGAAAGGAGACTGAAGTTTGTGTCAAGACTGTGCAGGGATCCAAATGGAACCACTCCTCCTACACCAGGCAAAAAGTTTACCATCCTCTCCAAAACCCTTCCCAAAGATGGGTTCCAGAGAATGGGTGTGGGGACTGGGAACTAACATTTGATCAGTTCCTAAAGTGCCAGACCTGGACTTGGACGTTCCACATTCTTTAATTCAATCCTCACCCAAACCCTAAGAGATAAACAGTACAGTCTCAATTTACAGACCAGGAAGCGGATGCTCAAGAGAGCAAATCATGTCATCCAAAATTCTGCTGGTGGCACATCACCAGGTCTGGCTGCAGAGCCTATGCCTCTTCCCCAATCTCCTTCATTTGTCTCTGGGAAACATACAGAGCCCTCATTCTCCTGCTGTGTACCGCAGACACACTGACAGCTTGACCCCCTGAATAATTGCTCCCACTCAAGTTTGGAAGAAAATGATACGAGAGTGTCCGAGAGAGCTCTCGCTTCCCTTCCTTAACTGCTTCTCTCCTCCCTCCAGCATCTTCCTGGTCCTGGAAATCCCTGGTCCCCCACCCCCCCCACCCTCCCACCCTTGCCCCAGAAAATCCCAAGAAGGCTTCTCGTGACTCTTAAATCCCCACTCTGAGTACTCAGAACCGGTTCTGGTTTCCTAGTGTGCTCTGGGTCTCCATCTGGTTTGAAGGCTATTTTGATCCACCGGATGCAGATTAGCTGCTGCGATCTGGGGCTAAGCGGTTGGAGAGATGCCTTTATCTATAGGAGGACAATTTAAAACTAACTCAAAGCACAGAGAACAAATAAATAAATTCCTCTCTCTGTTCCAAGCACTCTCCATCCTGTTTCTCCAGGTAATTGCTAAGGGATTTTTTTTTTTTTTTTGCTTCAAACAGACTCTCGTTTGCATGGAGCTTGGGGTACTTCAGAGTGGACTGAGGACCGGCCGACTTCTTGCCCAGAATACCAGGTGAGGGAGGCGCAGAGTTGGGAGGGGGCATCTTCCCTCCAGGGCCTGGGGCAGGGTGGGGTGCCTTCTGAGGTCAGTGTCAAATCTCATTCATTTTCTCTAATATTACTCTTTGGGGGGCAGGAACCATCTGTCCCTTCTCTAATCACCGAAAAAGGGTCTTCCAGGCTATGCTGACCTGAACTCAGAGTTAATTACATCATTAATGTCCTGAAGATATGGGCTTCTGCATGTCCCCAGGTGGGTGGTGATGAAGGTGTCCTGGCTTGCTGGGCAGTTCACCTGGCAAGGGCAGCAACAGAATTCCAATACATAGTTTCTGTAAGAAGTTCTGGTCTCTGTGCCACAGCCACCCCTTGAAGAGTTTCAGGGACCTGGTGAGGGTGTGAATGAGCTGGGAGGGATGAGGGTGGAGAAAGGGAGAAGGGAGGGGATATGTTCTCTTTTCTCTCCTCCCACCACCTCCATCCCTTCCTCTCTCCACAGCCCTTCACTCTGATCTCACCCAGGGAGGTGCTTCCTTCTCTCCCTCCAAATGGCACATGGCCCTTGTCATGGTCAGTGGCAATGTTGTCCACCATGGGTGACCAGCTTTGATCTAGCAGTGGATGATGGGTCCTGTCCTTTTGGTGCAGTGGAGCTCAGGGTGATGAAATTCATTATCAAAAAGCAAGAGCACCTGGGAAGGGCTCCTCTGGGCTGGGTGTGAGACAGAATCTGTGGGAACAGGGACACTCTGGACCTGACCCTGTGCTGGCTGGGCATGTGGCCTCCAGGCTGAGACCCAGGCTGTAGTTGGAGTGGAAAACATCAGGGACCTTGTTTTTATATCTTTGTCTGAGAGGCCACTATTAGCACCCTCTTTATCAATGAGAACACAAGGCTCAAAGAAGTCAAACTCAAGGCCACATACAGAGTGAAGTCCAAAATCTAGCATTGGAGTCCAGGTCTGTCCCAACCCAAAACTAGAATTTTTACTTAAAAATCAAAAAATAACTAAAGCAGTTTTTCTGAGAGCTCATTTTTCCAAGCACTCAGCGGAGCACTTTGCAACAATCATCTCACAGGGTCCTTATAGGGTCCCTGGTTAACAGGTGAGGAAACTGGAACTGAGATAGGTTAATACTTTGCCATGAATAGCACAAATCTTAAGCCAGAGCCAGCCCCAAAGCCTGTAAGTTTAACCTACAGGCAACCCACCACTCCAAATGGACAACAGAGTGGGTTTTCAATTAACCTAAAGAGCCTTGAAGAAATGTTAAGGCTTGGGCTCCATCCCCAGAGATTCTGATTAGGTGGTTTGATTTGGAGGCACGATTCAGGGAAGCTATTTTAAAAAAGAAAAAAAATAAGAAAAAAAAAAAAAACCAAGAAAACCTTTCCCCAGCTGCTCACTGTAGGCTGGAGACCAAGGACCTGATAGGAGAGACCTGTGCTGTGTAGTATTTGGGTTGCCCCACTCCTTGAGCATTTTCAAGTCTCGCCTGATGCCTAATCCAGACAGAGAGAGAGAGAGGAAAAAAAAAAGGAGGAGGAGGAGGAGGAAAGGAGGAAGAGAAAAGGAAAAGGAGGAGGGAGAGAAGAGAGATGAAACAGAGAGTGTACAAGCCGTCACGGGCTTTGGACTTAGGCGAGTCTGGCTTTGCATTCTGGCAGCACCACTAATAGTTAGAAATATGTTACCCAGAGCATGTTTCTTACCTTCTTTGAGACTCAGTGGTCAAATGATGATAATATTAATCAGAACCTCAATAAGCTATATCATGGTTTAAATGATAAAACCCCCATCAAGGAGTAAGCACAGTGCTGGGCACGTGTTGAGCTCTCACTAAATGCAAATTCTTAGCATCAGCTTCTTTATCATACAGCCAGAGGCCAGAATGATCCCGTTGTTAAGTGAAGCCAGAGACTCAGTTGGAACATTCTTTAGGGCAGAGAAGGATTTCATTAAGCAGCTCAGAATTAAGATGGGCAGGAGCTAAGGAAGAGCGAGGCTTAATTCTCTCACATACCCAGGGGAAGGGGTCTCTTTTGGAAGAGATTTGCATTGTCTTTAGTTGATTGCAATTACACTGTCCTTCTCCTTGCTGAAAATAAAATGAAACCCTAACAAAGTTCCAGGTTTAATTGAAATTTCCTGGGATCTGTTATTACATCGCTGTGATTGTTCTGTGCCACTAATGAGCCTGTGCTAGCTGATTATCCAAGTGTCTCTCCAGTCACTATTCTATTATTGCATTATTAATGATCAGATATGATTGTCACAACCAAGGGCTTGAACATCAAACGGGCAAGAGATACTTCTGAGAGTCGGTCAGATGGGCAGATGGACAGACGGCCAGGGTGGGTGGGACAGACAAGTGGGTAGGTCATTTTAGCTGACCACCTGGTACCTGAGTAGGAGGGGTCAAGAGGCATGGTCATGTCCCTGTGTGAGGAGCCCAGTGGAGGGGCAGGGCAGCGGTGTAGGAGGAGGTAGGTAGGGCATGGACCATTCCCTATAAATTGGTGAGTTTTATGGGTCTAAATCTCCGAGTCCTCTGTTTATCCGGAGAAATTGCCAATGACTCTTGATCAACATTAACAAACAAAACCCAACACTTCTGGAGCCTGGGGAGCAGATGAGTGGGAGGGGCAGGATGAGAAGATGGAAAGGGGCTTTTTCTCCCTCTGAGGCAGGCCTGGGGTGTTTTTTGAGGAGCTGCTGAGAACCTCTCCCCTCTCGTGAGCCCGGTCATCCAGAGCAGGGATGTAGGTGGCAGTGCGAAAGGGTTGGATTGGGGACCTGGGAGGCACGTTTGCTTCCTAGAGGCAGCCATTTGTCCTGGGCACAGTGGATAAGTAGTCCACTCCTGTGAGTCCCCTGACCCACTTTGCAGCAGCCACCTCTCTGCACCTCAAGAGGACTAGAAGGGAAGTGTTGGTGCAAGAAGTTTGAAGAGTTTTGGGAACCTGCCAGCTGGCCAAGCTGAAGGTCTTCCTTAGTCAGTAATGAGCTGGGCTGGGGTTGGTGCAAGAAGAAGAGCCCCACACCCAACATCCGGGACATCCCCACGCTGGGCCTCACGCCCACAGGCACCGGGGCTGGGTTTCCAGGCCTCTCACCCTAAGTACCCCTATCTCCCTTTCAGAAGTTTATTTTTCCCCGAAAACACCAGACAGGATGAGGTCATATTAGGCACTCGACTGCTGCCAAATTTCATTCTTCAAAGACCGGAGTTGTGCTAGCATGAGACGCTAGCCAGGAACAGGAGAGAGGAGGGGGATGGATTGATGAAATGGGCAGGGGCAGCTCACAAGCAGGAGAGAAGGAATTGACATTTGAACATGGTTTTGTAATCGGAAAATTGATCCCAGGGTCGCTCCCCCCCCCCCCCCCAGCGATGGGCCGAGGCTGCGCTGTGGTTTCCTGAAGCCCGTGGTGGGGGCCACCTGTTCCACCACCCTTGCTGCCCACAGCTCACTGTCTCCATGGTGAAGAGGCAAATGGCTGGGGGCTCCCGCAGCCATGGTTTCCCTGGCAACCCTCAGGCAGCTCCCACTCCCGGCTGTGTGGACTGGTCTGTCCCCCCCACCCCCCACAGAGCTGTAGAGCTATTTCAGAGCAGGGGAGGCCTCTGCCTACCCAGGCATCCATGGCCACTCCAACATGCTCACAGGTGTCACTTCTCTGGGCTCCTGGTTTCTACCCACCCGTGGCTCCCACCCGCAAACTGTCCAGACTATAGGGGGCTGTGTTGGCTGGCCAATCCCAGAGGGATATGAAAAGTGTGGGACGTGGAGACCCTGGGGCAGGCGTGGCCTGGACACCTCCTCCTTCTCCAGGGGTCGGACAGGGAAGACCAAAGAAATCAGAGGCCAGAGCTCTAAGAAGGAGGGTGCACTCTCTGGCACCCTGTAGTTCCCCCACCAGGACCAGGGCTAGTCAGTACTGAGGATCACAATGGACAAACTCCTGTTAATCCCACCATGCCAAACTTGTGTCCTCCTGAAGTAAGCAGAACAGTTGTTACCATCATGGTTAAGTGACCTACTCAAGGCCACGCAGTTGGAAATGATGGTCTCAAACCCAGTATATGGTGGAAGTCTGGTTTGAGGGTGTCTGGGGAGATCTGTGTCTGCTCTGTGTAGGTTTTGCCAGGGGTAGGGCAGGGGCAGAGGAAAATGGAGCATCTGTGTCCCTGCCCTTAGGAAGCTTCTGCAGGATAGAGGGCATGCTCGGGAGCCCTCTGTACACCTGTGCTCCCATGAATGACCACATGCCCTCAGTCCCTGTTCTTTGGCCTCTCATAAAGCTGGGTTGACAGTCAGTGGCCTCCTCCTGGAGCTGTGAGGCCGTTGTCCCCTGGGAATGGCTTTCGCCTTTCCTAAGGACCCTCCAAGGAGGACTGAGGCTCCCACCACGATGCAGGAGGCAGTGAGCTGCTTCCACCTGGGGTTCCTGAGGGCCATATGGAGTTAGGACTTTCTGGTCCTGCTCTCAGAGTGCTAATCCAAGCCCATGACCAAGGCTGACAGGAGGCACTCTGGGCTTTGCTGAATGTCACCTCAGAAACGAGGCTGGAAGGCAGAGGCCTGGAGGAAGGAAGGGGAGAGCGTGAGGCATGGGTCTCCATAGGCCTGGAGCTAAGGACCAGAACTAGGAGGCTCTGGACCTCCCCGCATCTTCTCAGCCGGGCCTCTTCTGCAGCCTCCCAGATGCATGGAGGAGATGGGCCTGTGGCTTCCCCAGCTCCTACCAGAGCGCCCAGGATAGGTGACAGAAGAGGATGAAAACCCCCAAATGGGACAGCATGCAGAGGCACCCACCCAGAGCACTTGCTAGGCCCTGGGTTCAATCCCCAGCACCACAAAACAACAAAGAAACAAACCCAAGATGCTGACTAACTACGTGATCACACCCAGAGCCCAGCAGCGGCCAGGCAGCCAGCACAGGTGCTTCTCTGTGGCCAGAACCTCCTTCCTCCTCTGTAGAAGAAAACCCCCAGGACCTTCCCTGGAAGAGAAGTGTGTCTTGTTGTTTGTTTGTTTATTGATTGATTGGGTACTGGGAATTGAACCTAGGATGCTCTACCACTGATCTGCATCCCCAGTCTTTTTTATTTTATTTTGAGACAGGGTCTGAATAAGTTGCCTAGGCTGGCCTCAAACTTGAGATCCTCTTGCCTCAGCCTCTCAAGTCCCTGGGCTGACAGGCATGCACCATAGGATCCACTACTTGGTCCCGCAGCAGCTTTCTACCTCTCACAATCTTTGTCAGGAAATGCAAGTTTGCCAGATTCCCAGAGTCTTCTCTGAGCCAAGCAAAGTAATTTACATATATGCCACCATCTAGGGTAAGGTTCCCCTAGGGTGAGGTTCCCCGCAGGCCTATGGGGCTGGAAGATGACCATTTCAGTCACTGGGAATGTGGCTTGGGGTGCTTTAGGAGAATCAATTCCCTGCAGGACCAGCTCCAGAGAAGCAGAGCTGGGATTAACCCCAGGCCCTTTGACCCCAAGTCCAGCCTCCTGTCTCCCTGATAGCTGCCCACAGCCCTTCTGGCACTAGAGTAGCCTCCTTCCTGTGTGGATGAGGCAGGCAGCTCCTCAGCCCTACCGACACCTCCCAGGGCCAGGGACCTGCCGAAGTCTGATGGGGGAGTCTGCTGCCACCTGGTTCATGCCCCTCTGACCCATCCCTGAATCAGTTGCTTAGCTCAGAATAGAAGAGTCTAGAATTTTCCTCAATCCTTGTCACCCTGCCTGTTCCTACCCCTTCTGCTCTAGCCTGGAAATGTTGAGTTGATTATATTCCATGCTCAATCACCAGAAATAATCAATCTGTAATTAAGAGCATCCCCCGGCCCTCTCCAAGCCTTCCCCAGACCTCCCGCTCCTTCAGCCCCCCGCCTGCCCCCGCCACCACCGCCCCCTCGCCTACCCCTCCCACCTGCCTTTCCAGCATGGAATCGCTTTAATGAGATTTCTCTGTTACAAATGACCAGTTTGTAATAATTATATTTTGTGAGGCAATCGTGGTTTAAAAATGATTTAAAGCAGGGAAGGCTCCAATTTATTAGGCATCAAATTTTCTGTGGTGAACTTTTAACTGGAAGCCGCTGTTCAGACACGGAGGGGGCCATTTCTGCCACCCAGGGCTGAGCAATAGTCCTGAAATATTGATGGTTTGTGGATGGAGATGGAGCCAAGGAGATTCAACTTTTATTAGAGTAAATGAATCTCACAACAACAGTGCGCTGTCCTGGGCATCCCACCGCCTTCGGTAGAGGGAATGGGCTACAGGGGGAGGAGGAGAGGCCCCACCCAGAACAGGGTGAGGGAAGAGGCATCTGGGCCTTGGAACTGTGGCCTGGAGCACTTTCCATGCAGGACTCTGCATTCTGAGAGGAATCCTCATTGTGGGCTCCTGCGGCCCCGATTCAATTCGGTGAAGCGCTTTTGGTGACAGCAGTGCTGGTGATATTTGGGCTTCGGACTTCGGAGTGAACCTGGTTCAGATGTGAAGCTGGCTACTTTCAACCCATGGAAATGTGGGCCCTTGGTCAGCCTTTCCAAGTCCAGAGGAGAATTCTCTGAGATATCAGGTGTAAAGCCCTCTGACCAGAGCTGAAATACAGCAGGCACTCAATGAATGGCAGGCATTGTTATATTGCTTTGCTTAGTATCTTATGAGGTCCTCACAACCCTGTGCAGCACACCTGGTAAGAGTCATTGTCCCCATGGAGAAAAGAAGGCTGGGTTGAGTAGAGTGTTGCCCCATGGTCACAATCGAAGTGGTGGAGCTGTGCCACCTTCCCATCCAGCCCCAGCCCCAGCCCCTAGTTCCCCAGTCTCCTTTCCTCAGAGTTACAGTCACGAGTGGAAGTTTCTGGAGCAAGAAGGACTGCCATTGCAACTGAAAAGAGCAAGACATCGTTTTAAAATGCAGTAAAGAGGTACAAAGGGTATTGGAAGAAAAGAGAGGGAGAGGGAGGTCGAGGGAACCCTTTCCTTTTAGGATGTAGAGGCTATCGTGTATGCTGAGCAAAGCACATCTCACCAGCTCATGTGCCCCTGCGGGGAGCTCCTGAGGGCAGAGGTCCTAGCCATTCAACTGGGTCTCCCCTGCTGCCTGGCTCCAAGAAGGGCACAAAGCTGGGTGCAGTGGTGCCCGCTAGAAGCCTCCTGAGGGCAGGAACCCTGCCGGTTTTGCTCATTCCCAGAGGTTGGTCTGATGCCAGGTACACAGTAGGTGCTTAGAATGTGTTAAATGAGTGACTGAATGAAAGGACAAGGGGTTGTAGTGTGGGCTGGAACAGTCTGTCCCCTTCTGATCTTACTCTCTGGAAGTGGGTCGTCTCTGATGTTTCTGATGGAGGCCTAAGACCTCAGGGTGTCTGCAAGGCACACCCCATCCTCCCTGGCCTAAACTGTACCTTCATCTTGGGACTTTGGAACCTTGGTTCCTAGAGCAGAAGCATAAAGGGGTCAGTGGCCTGGGAGGGACCTGGCAGGGACCTGGGAGGGTGGGAAGAGGGGCCTGGGAGAAGGGAGGGCAAGCTCATCGCCCTCTGTCGGGCAGCTCTTCCTCTCCTGTCTGGTCCTATGCCGGGCTCATCCTCCTACTCTCATTTGCAGGCCACCTGCTGAAGGACCTGGGCCTTCTTTCCCACAGGTGCTGGTCTCTAGTTGTGTGGAAGAGCACGGAATTCCTTCTTGCAGGATGCCTTCGTTGCAAGCACGAAGGAGGGGCTGGTGGTGCCTCTCAGTCCCTGCTGTCTCCTGGGAACAGGTTTCAAACTGTCCTGGGGATCATTAAGGAGGAAATCCAGGACCTCCTGAAGGGCAGGGGGACTCCAGGGAGCTGTTAGGATGCAAAAGTCCTCTGCTGGAAGGCTGGAGATGAAGTGAGATGTTGCACCACTGGCTGAGTTTTGATTTTGAATTCATACCCAGCATTCGTCCTGCAGGGGAATTGCAGTGGACAGGAGGTCCATCTCCATTCTCACCGTTTTTGTCCTCTCCCTGCTGCCTCTTCACTGAGTGTCAACCAATGTGTGACCTCAGAGGGGGTTTCTCCAGGACACATCTGCTCAGGAGGCTCTCCTCCAGGGAGGCGGAACCATGTAGTGAGAGCCTCATGACATTTTTATCAGCAAACACTGAGTCTAGCACCGGCTTTGTCCTCGGCGGCCTGCACGATGCTGGACGTGGTCTTTTGCTCCGCAGAACGGATGGTAGCTAGGCTGCTCTGCCTTTCCCAGCCTGGGAGCCTGTGGACAGGGCCTGGAACTTTCTTCCTTGCTTCCTCACCCAGCAGACTTGCCACCCCTTGGGTTGTTCTTCCACATCTCTGTACAGTGTCTTAGCCAGTCTAGCCCTACCCTGGTGATCCCACCTCATCCTTCCTCTATGATGGCTACTCCTGCCTGGGCCTGACACCCTGGGGATGACAGCACCCTGATCACCATGACCCTGAACCCTCCCTGTCTACCTTCCCTTGAGTCACTGTGTCATGTCAGCTGCCCCCCTCTGGACATCCTCTCTCCACCACCCCAGAGTGAGTTTTCTGAATGAAAAACCTGACCACGTGACTCCCTGGCTTAAAATCCTTAGGCTTAGTATTATCCTTTCGTTCAGCAACAGTATTTGCTAAGACCCACTGTGCGCCATGTGCTCTGGGCACACACACAAGGTCCTGGGCTTCCTGGCCCTGCCCCAAGCCCCCAACCCCTCCCTGGGTGCCAGACATGAGGACCATTTGCAGGTCCCCAAGAATGCCAAGTTGCTCAGCCCTTCCTGTGACGCCTTCCTCCTCCTCTTGCCCCACCAGCCCCTCTAGACTTCATTAACTCATCTTAGACTCTGTTCTGATGCCATTTCCCCCACCTAGAAACCTATAGGAGGGCCCCTCAGACTTGTGTGAGTGTGGCCCCCGGCTTCTGCAGCATCCCCCACCCCCACTGCACTTATCCTCTGTAATCTACACTGGTGGTGCACCAGGCTCCCCTCCCTCTGTGAGCTGGACCTCAGCATACACCTCCCCTCCCCAACATCTTGTGCTGTGGACTATGGATGTGTCCCTCCCCAGGTTCATACAATGAATCCTAACCCCCAAGGTGACAGTATGAGGAGGTGGGGCCCTTGGGCAGTGATTAAGTCATAAGGGCTTTGCACTCAGTGCCCTTATCAAAGCGGCTTAGGGGAGGCTGTGGTTTGCCTCTTCCTCCAGGCAAGGACACAGTGAGAAGGTGCCATCAATGAAACTGAAAGTGAACCCTTGCCAGACATGGAATTTGCTGGTGCTTTAATCTTGGACTTCCCAGCCTCCAGACTGTGAGAAATAAATTTCTGCTGTGTATAAACCACGTGGTTTGTGGTATTTTTGTCATAGCAGCTTACATGGACTGAGACACTCTGCACACAGTAGGTTCTCAGAGGAGGGGCTGTTGCAGGAGCAACCAAATTCATTGACTCTTGCTTATAGCTTTTCTTTTTATTCTTTTTAACTTCTATGCTCAGAAGCAGGGTCAGGCCTTGCTCTAATTTAGATCTGGAATGCTCCCCAGAGACCCATGTGTTGAAGACTTAAGCCTCAGCTTGATAGTAGAAACTAAGAGGTGGGGCCTAGTGGGAGGTCACTGGGGTGTATTTTTGAAGGAATGAAGGGGATATTGGGACCCCAACCCCTTCTTCTTTCTCTTTAGTTTTACTTCCTGGGCATGAGGGAAGAGGCTTTGCTCTACCACACACTCCTGTCAGAAGACGCTGCCTCAACACAGGCCCAAAGCAACAGTGCCAACAACCATGGACAGCAACTTCCAACACTATAAGCCACAATGAACCTTTTCTCTTTATAAGTTGGCTCTCTCAGGTACTTGTTAACAGTGACAGAAAGCTAACTAACACAGGCCTACAAAATAATAATGAGGCAGCAGGGGTCCGGGGAGGGGGTCTGGGGTTGTGGCTCAGCAGTAGAGTGCTCGCCTAGCATGTGCGAGGCCCTAGGTTCAATTCTCAGCACCACATTAAAAAAAATAAACAAAATAAAGGTACTGTGTCCAACTACAACTAAAAAATACATA